ACAGGAGCTCAAACGGGCCAGGATCCCAGAGACAGGAGCTGATGCAGAGGTCATGAAGGGGAGCTACTTACTGGCTTGCTTCCCATGGCTTGGTCAACCTACCTTTTTATAGGTCTTATAGAGCCCAGACCAGCAGTCCACCATGGGCTGGGCCCTCCCACACTGATCACTAATTGAGAAATTTCCTGAAGCTCCTTCTTCTGATGACTCTAGCTGTGTCAAGCAGACACACAAAACCATCCAGCACAGCCCTGAATCAAGTTTGGCAAGTGACTTAAGTATTTTCCATCAGGGCCAATCAGGAGCAAGCATACATCCTTCTTGCCTATGAAACTCCTGCCCACACGTGATCAACACATCCAGTGCAGATAATCAGACTTGTTTAGGAGAGTGGAAACATGTGACTTGTTATCTCCCATAACCAATGGCCTCCAGCATTTCAGGAACTATCTGCCCTTAGGCAAGGGGCTTACAGATCAGAGACATTTTTGTTTCATGGATCTCTTAGATATAGTAGTTAAAACTTTGGCTCTCACAATGAGGGAGAAAAGCCTATGAAAAGATACCCCTTCCATAAAAGTATACTCTCCCAGCCACCCCACTAAATTTTGATCTCATGGATGATTCCAACTTCAACCTCTCTCCCTACCTCAATATCAAGACTGCTATCTCCCACCCCAGGCAAGGTCTCTCTGTGTAGCCTTGGTTGTCCAGAAACTCTCTAGTAGATCAGGTTGGCCTCAAATCACTGAGATCCACCTGCCTCTGCCTCACAGTGCTGGGATTAAAGGCCACCACATTCAGTTGATTCTTCGTGTCCTTAATAGAACTGGGACTTGAACCTTGGGCTTTTCTCGTACTAAACAAGCATAACTGCCAAACACTATGATTGTCAAACTCTAGATTCTATCTATTTTCTTGTGTGTTTACATGCACAAGCATCGGGGGAGGGTAAGACTACATCTCTGCCACATATATATGTGGAGGTTAGAGAATAACTCTGTGGCATCTCCCAACACAGTGTAGATCCCAAGGGCCAAACTCAGACCATCATGCTAAGCAGCAAGCGTCCTCACTCACTGTGCCCACCTGGCCACTTTTTCTTCTTTCCTTTGAGACAGATTTCTTAGCATGTGCACGGACTGGTTTGGAACTGCAAGGCTTATGTGATCCTCCTGTCACAACTCCTGAAGTAACCAGGACTACAGGCATGTGCCATTATGCCATTATATTAAAAAAAAATAGAAGAAGAACCATGGGGGTGGAGAGATTGCTCAATGGTTAAGAGCACTGACTGTTCTTCCAGAGGACCTGGTTCATTCCCAGCACCCACATGTCAGCTCACAGCTGTCTGTAACTCCAGTTCCAGGGAATCTGGCACCCTCACACAGACATACATGTGGGCAAAACACCAACGCCCATAAAATAAAAAGAAATAAATCTAGCTGGGCAGTGGTGGAGCATGCCTTTAATCCCAGCAGAGGTAGGCAGATCTCTTTGAGTTCAAGGACAGCCTGGTCTACAAGAGCTAGTTCCAGGACAGCTAGGGCTGATATACAGAAAAAGACTGCTGTCTCTAAAAAGAAAAAAGAAAAGAAGAAAAATGTCACATCAGTTCCAACTAATTCCTAATCTGTCAATTACCAGCTGTATGATCTTTAATGACTTCATTTATTTCTTTTTAAATTTATTTATTATGTATACAGTATTCTGTGTGTATGCCTGAGGGCACCAGACCTTATTACAGTTGGTTGTGAGCCACCATGTGGTTGCTGGGAATTGAACTCAGGACCTTTGGAAGAGCAGGCAATGCTCTTAACCACTGAGCCATCTCTCCAGCCCCCAACTTCATTTATTTTGACACCTCAGGTTCCTTATGTTTTGTTGTCGTTTAGACTTTTTATTTTTGAGCCGGGGTCTCCATATGTAGTCTTGGCTGACCTGAAATACACTATGTAGACGAGGCTGGCCTCAAGCTTGCAATGATTCTGTCCCTGTATACCAAATTATAGGATAACAATGATGTACCATGAATCCCAGCTTCCTTTTGTTTCTGGAATTATTTTTTTAACTTATCCTTATTTTTGGATTTATTTTTATTTTATGTATGCCATGTGTGAGAGTGACTGCAGAAGCCAAAACAGGGGGTCAGATCCCCTGGAACTGGAGGAACAGGTGGTTATAAGTCACAAGATGTAGGTGCTGAGAACCAAACTTAGGTCCTCTACAAGTGCAGTGCCATGCTCTTGACCGCTGGGCTATCTCTTTAGACTCGTTTTTATTTTTAAAACTCAGGTATTCAAGACTATGCAGGTAGAGCGCTTGTGCAAGGCCCTAGGTAATTGCTTGCAGGAGGCAAAAAAAAAAGAAAAAGAAAATCTAAGGTGTTGCAGATAAAATGGGATATCATGACTGGGACATTAATAATAACTCAACAGACTGGGTGGTGGTGGCCCAGACCTTTAATCTCAGCACTAGGGAGGCAAATGCAGGCAAATCTGAGTTTGAGGCCAGACTGGTCTACAGAATGAATTCCAAGACAGCCTGTCTGAGAAAAAAAAAAAAAAAAAAAACAACTCAATGAATGTTGTCTATTTTATTAGTGACTTAAGGATGTCGTGAGTTGCCCGCCGTGCTAATGCATAACTGCAATCCCAGTGCAAGGATGACAGGAAGATCAGGGAGGGATAAGGCCAAATGCCAGGACAGCCTGGGCTACATGAAATGCTGACTGCAAGAAAAACAAACAAAAAATGTGGTATTTGTATCTTGAGAGATCCTGTCTCAGAAAGAAAAAAGGATTGTGATATTTATTTAAAAGAGCAGGTTGAGGGAGGGGAGGGGGCTGAAGAGATGGCTCAGAGGTTAAGAGCACTGGCTCACAACCATCTATGAGATCTGGTGCCCTCTTTTGGGCAGAACCCTGTGTACATAATAAATAAATCTTTAAAAAACTTATTTTAAAAAAGAGCAGGCTACAGAGATTGTATACAACAATTACTGCCTGGCCTCTGTTTCCCGGCAGAATAGTCAATAAACTATTCTTTTCAGAAAAGAAAACATTCAAAGGACATCACATTACAAACTGGTGCCTGCACACATTTGTAACCTTAGTAACTCAGGAAGTTGATGCGGAAGATCCAGGCTACAAATCCCATGGGGGCAGGGAACGGAGGATACCACGGGACAGCTGACCAGAAAAACCTCTTCCAATTTCCATTCTAACGTTTTCTTCCCGTGAAAATGTTTTATTTATGCAGCAAAGTTTAGAATTTGCTTAATGCAAATTTTAAAATCTTTTAGTCTGGTCAACTAGGTAAACACAAGGAATTTTGCTTCATATTCAGGATATTGTGGTTAATGCAATTAATTAAATACATTGCAATTATGTCTCATTATTGTCTCCCCACATAGGTTCAAAGCAATTAAAGGCAGAGACCAAGTTTTACATTTACACCCTAAAGTCTTTCACACAAAATACGGCTCAATAAATGTTTGTCGAATGGACATATGAAGCAATCTTCCCCTCGCCGTTTAGACAGTCTTCTACAAATGACAGGGCTCTAGAAAGCTTGTTATTCGACTCATACAGAAAAAAATTTGACTCAACTGCCGCACAAAGCTTTACTTTGTCCCAGAAAAGCATTTGTTTCTTAAAATTCAGTTATGAACACCAAATTAAGTTTTCCTCTATTACATGTCAAATAAGTGGGTTCCGTGACTCTATCTAAGCTAGCTCAAGGGTTTAAAAACCAACTTTAATTAATGAATTTGTGAATATGGAAAAACCCAGTTACATAACCAAAAGAAGTTATCCTTTGTAAAATTATTAGGAAGCGTCTAATAATTCTGTTTCTGCAAAGTGGATAAATTATCTTTACCCCTGACATGAAGCCATAATTTTCACTAGAAATGAATTAACCAGTCAAAAAGTTCAAACTCGACTCCAGAAAACAGCTCTTGAGATTCAGAGGGTAATTTTTTTTTCTCAGTAATTTTAACTCCTGAAAGCTGCTTTATTTCCAGGTATCCAAACTTCATTCTGTCTCCTAAAATAAAACCTCATCCATTTCTTCAAATAGATGGTAATCTGAATGGGCATACTATGGAAACACTGGATTTCATATGCAAGTCACTAAAACTATCCCTAAATTGGGAGTTCAGCCTCCTGCTGCAACAGAAACACTTTCTTAGTTTTAAATTCTATTTGTGAAGTTTAAGTGTCTTACTGTACATTCTTTTGCCATATCATCTCTACTGATTTTACACTGCATATATAATTTCACAAGCACATCGTAAAGGAATTCTACATTTGAATGAATCTAGGAAGAAACGTGAACACACACCCCCTTTTTTCAATTCACAAACGCTCCAGAGGAAGCACACCTCAGGGTTTTTTTTTTTCCTCAAGAATGTCTCTCTCCCGCCCCCACCCCACGCTTTATTTCCAGAGAAGCAGTCATTCACTATCCTACTCAAAGTCTCTACGTCGAAAAGAACCTCTCCAACTAATACTAGTTTACCCAGACTACTCTTTCACAAGTCCAGAGTGTTGGTTTATTGGCTATTTCTTTGGCAAGGGGAACAGGAAGCTGGGAGGGTCCGGGACGCCACCTTTCCCGCCACGCCATTTAGGACGCAGGTGCTGGCCCAGACCAGCCTTAGGAGGAGCGGGGTCCCTTTTATCCGGTTCTGAGTCTCCTTAGCCTCTCAATTCCCAACACACATACCCCTCTCCGCTCCTTCCCCGCCTCTTGAACCCAATTCTACCCGGGTCTCCCCGCCCAACCCCACCCCGCCCCCGGAGCGGCACCAACCCTCCACGCCTGCCCCAGCTCAGAAAGGCGCCGGGTCCCGGTGCCCACAGAACGGTTGTCCCTCCCAACACGTCACCCCGGGATGCAGGTCCCCCGAGGCCCGACCTCCGCACCCCCTCCCCCGGCGCTACCCCTGCACCCCCGTTTCCGTCGGCCCCGCCCCCCTGAGAGTGTCGCACTCACCGCTCCCGCGGTCGCATCCTTAACCGCCGCGGCTGCTATAGCTACAGGGAGCCAAGGCAACCGGCTCTCGCGATACTTCCCTCAGCGACAGCGAGAACTGTGAAAAAGAGACTCGCAGGAAAATGAGTCCAGGGATTGACGGCTGAGGATGTCTCGCGATAGTGATGTATAAGATGGCGGCTGCGGGGCGGTTCAGGGTTAGCTGGGAAAGAGTTGGAGCTAGGACGCGGGCGACGACGAAGCTGCTCTGACGGAGTCGAAGAACGCCTGCCGGCCCACCGGTGGTCTGTTCCCCCCGGGACAGTTATGGCCAACAGTACACCGAGATAAACTCAGGCATGTGCATGTGCTCGCCCTCTGCGAACTCCTCATCAAACTGAGAACTGTTTTCCTTTTACCTCAGGTTCCGTTTCCCTGACATTTTCCTTTCTTGTCGAACTGTTAGCGATGGAGTAGATAGGCCCGAGGTTGAGCTCCCCATCGTCTCGTAACCTTCAAGAATTTGTCATTCGTTCTTTTTCTATCCTCCTCTGCCAAACTTGGCTTCTCTGGAAAGTTTATCCCAGGTGCCCCGCCCCATCAATTTTCGAGACCAAAATAGGAAGTAAATCACACACACACACACACAAACAAGGATGAAAGAATGAAAAAAAAAAAAAGCAGCCCTAGGTGTTTAGCCTTGGGATGCAGAGTGAGAAGTGCCCTAGTGGATTGCAAGGCAGTCACGTCCTTAGCGACTCTCTGGACACGGGCTGGCTTTGCTCTCATGAGACCAGTAAAGCAAGCCTCCGAAACAAAAGGGTTTTAGGAACATTGGTCAACAGGGAAAAATGAAACACAAGGGAATGAACATAGAATAGAAATTTGAAAGTTTTTTTTTTTTTTGCTTTTTGAAGCCTGTGAGTAGTTTTCATGAGGTGCTTTAATCTAAACCAGTTTTCTCTAGTACAAATATATTGCTAACCACAGTGTGCAACTTAAATTTTCCACTTGCCATGTTTACTAAATTAATTACGAAAATTAATTTCGCTAGTATGTTTAACCACTTCAATTTGTAATCAGGCTAGGAGTAGTGGCACACGCCTTTAAATCCCAGAAGTTGTTAGGGAGAGTCAAGTGGATCTCCTGTGAGTTCCAGGTCACGCTGGTCCCCAGCGGAGGGAAAAATCAATTTGGAATCAGTCTTTTAATTTTTTTGTTCATTCGGGTGTTAGCGGTGGTTTCTTTTAATTTAAGACAGGGTCTCTGGGCAGTGGTGGCGCACTTGGGAGAAAGAGGCAGGTGGATCTCTGAGTTTGAAGCCAGCCTGGTCTACAAGAGCTAGTTCCAGGACAGGCTGAGAGAAACCCTGTGAAAAACAAAAACAAAAAAGACAGGGTTTCACTGTGTAGCTCTGACTAACGTAGAACTCACAGAGATCCACCTGCCTCTGCCTCCCAAGTGCTAGGACTAAAGTCCTGCTATGCCACATCCAGACAAGATTGTTTCGAATCCCATGTATAGGGGCTGGAGGGAGATCTTAGGTAAAGAGCATTTGTTGAGAACTAGTTCTTGGACAGGACCAGAGGATCTGACACCTTCTTCTGGCTAATGAGGATACTGCATGCATGAAGTACACAGACATGCTGGCAAAACATCCACACGCATTAAAAAATGAGTAAATAAAACTTGTAAAATATTTATTTTGGCCGGGCAGTGGTGGCACACACCTTTAATCCCAGGACTCAGGAGGCAGAGGTGGGTGGATCTCTGAGTTTGAGGCCAGCCTGGTCTACGAAGCAAATTCTAGGGCAACCCAGAGCTGTTACACAGAAAAACTGTCTGGGGGGAAAAAAAAAAAAGAAGAAGAATTTATTTTGTATTTATGCCACATCTCAACTTTGGTAACGTTTGGAAACTTTTGATGAGCCCAGTATTCATATGCAGCTAGTGAATGTGTGGGGGCCAGCCATGATAATCTAAATCTGGGCAGGTCAACCAAAGGAAGTTCTTTACTTCCAGCCATTATCACCGGGGACTCTGGCCATCTGTAAATTTAAATAAGAGGCCTGAGTCTCAGTAGTTTATCTGGTAGCTGGAAAGAACCACAAGCTGAGATTACCCAACCCCCACCACTGTAGACAGGATCACCTGCCAGCGCACCTCACCAGGAAACCCCTAGACAAATGTCAGCCAGTCAGGGGTCCTGAACCTCAGAAACCTCTCACCCCCACCTTTACTACTATAAAACCCTACTCTAAGTGAGCTCAGGGCTCTCCAGTTATTCCAATACGTTGGACATGCAGAGAGACCGAGTTTGCAAACTTGATTAAAATAAAGGTTCTTTGCTTTTACATATGGTACTCAGTCTCCTCTGTTGGCTTTTGTGGGGACCCCACGGATTTGAGCACAACAAATGCAGCACTGTGCAGCATAGACTTAGTCTCTGCAGTACTGAATGAGCACTCTACCAGAGGAGTAACATCATGGGTATATGATTTATAATTGTTAACTCAGAGGTTTCAGAGACTAGGTATTTCACAACAAAAGCTAAGCTATGTAAGAGAAGAGGTAGTGAGTACTAGAACCCACTAGGAATCACAAACTCCTAACCAAAAGGACTATTTCTCTCAGATTTTTGTCTGTTTGTGTTTGTTTTGATTTTCTAGAGAGAGAATTTTCTAGCTCTGGATGTCCTAGAACTCACTATGGAAAACAAGCTAGCCTCAAACTTAGAGGTCTGCCTGCCTCTGCCTCCCAAGTGCTAGTACAGCAGACTAAAGGTGTGCACCACTATGCCAGGTTTCTCCTGAGTTTTAAAACATGCTTAGTCAGTTTTCTCCTTCCACTGTGTGGATCTGGAGGATGGAACTTGGGTCATCAGGCTTACACATCTAGCCAGTAAACCATCTCACCAGCCCCAGCCAACCCTTAGGTTTTTGCTTGTTGTTTTTTGTTTTGGAGCAGGGTCTCAATATGTACCCCGGGCTATCCCGGAATTAACTATATAGACCAGGTTGACCTAGAACTCACAGAAAACCACCAGCATATGCCTCTCACATGCTGAGGTTAAAGATGTGTGCCACCATGTCCAGCTAGCCTTAGTTTTTAAGACAGGATCTCGTGTAGCTCAGAATGGCCTTTCACACTATGCCTTTCAGTCAGACTAGACTGAAATGTATTGTCTTCCTACCTCTTCCTCCAGAATGCTTAGATTACAGGCATACACTACTGTGCCCAGCTGCAAAAGCCACTGTAATGGAAAAATTAAAAATGCTGCAGGATTCCCAGTGGCAGCAGGCAACAGAAACACTGCAGGTCCCCAAGCAGTGGTAGTGGGCCATGTGGCAGCAGGCAGTAGGCCCTGAGAGCAGCCAGTCCCTGGCAGGGATGGCGCACGAGACCACGCTGGGCTGCAAGTCTCCAAAGGCAGCTGATCCTGGGCGGCAGGCCACATGGCAGTAGTGGATGACAGACAGATAGGCACGCCATGCAGAGTGAGGTTAGATATTTATTTAGTGGTTATGGAAGGGAGGGGAGAAGGGGAGATAAGCAGAGAGGGAAGGGGGGGAACCGAGAGACAGAAGCTGCCTCTCCGAAAGGGAGCTAGAAAAGAGAGAGAACTCAGGCTGGAAGCTGAAGATCAGCCTGTCTCAGCAGATGGGGGAAGGAGTGGGCGTGACTTGTCTCTTAAAGAGACAGAACAATCATTACAGCCACATTTAAACCTATGGTAAAGGGATGGAAAAACCTGAGAAAGTGATTCAATTTCTATCTGCATCCTATATATGGATGCACTTTTATATATTAGGCCACTATTGCTGCTTCTGAACATAGTCTGTCTTCTAATTAGACTTGCCTACAAAAGATAATTTCACAGTCACTCCAGCTTCCTGTAATTTTTTGAATCGTCTCATGATTTATTTTTCTCATGGTTTCTTCTTTTTTTTTTCAACTTCAGAAAAATCTGATCTTGAAAAATACTCAGTTTCTAGGTTTTCAGTGATTAGCAGATGCTGGTCACCCTCTGCCCACTTTAAGGAATTAATTTAATAATTACTTCATGATTGATTATGAAAGCTCTTTATTATATGGGAGTATTTATACCTCCTTGGCCTAATGTAGAACCTATAATAAACAGTAGGCATACAATAAACATATGATAAAGAATGCAGGGGCTGGAGAGATGGCTCAGAGGGTAAGAGCATTGCCTGCCAAAGGTCCTGAGTTCAATTCCCACCAACCACATGGTGGCTTCCAAGCATCTGTAATGAGGTCTGGTGCCCTCTTCTGGCCTGCAGACATACACACGGACAGAATATTGTATACATAATAAATTAAAAAAAAAAAAAAAAAGAATGCAGCCTGGTGGTTGTGGCACACGCCTTTATTCCCAGCACTCAAGAGGCAAATGGATCTCTGTGAATTCAAGGCCAGCCTGGTCTACAGAGCAAGTTCTAGGACAACCTACAGAAACCCTGTCTCAAAAAAACAAACAAAAAAGAATAGACACAGAAACTCAGCAGTTAAGGGTTAAGGTCTGCTCTTCCAGAGGACCTGAATTTGGTCATCAACATGAGTGGCTCACAAACCCTTGTTCTAGGGGATCCAACACTCTCTTCTAGCTGTAAGGGCACCTGCACTCATGAGTACACAATACATAGACACATACACATAATTTAAAATAACTTTTTTAAAAAAGGAACACACCCCCTGTTCCAAAGGCCAAGGGATTATTTCAGAAAAGGAGGGAAAACGATTTTGAGAGCAATGGATGACTACAAGGTAACACTGTCTCTTGATGCAGCAAGACTGCTGCCATAGAAACTCACGGTAGTGTGACAGCATGCAAGAGGCCCACGGTAGCCCAAGTCAGACCAAATCCCAGCATGGAGACGGGAGTTTGGCACAAAGTCCCACCCTAGTCAAGGAAGAACTGGCATTGTCAGATTCTGGGAGAGGGGAAATCAGTTTTCTCTAAAAGTGTATGTAGCCCGTGATAAGTCACTCAGGCTTCAGTGAAAGACTACACATCCAAGATTATTTGGGCAGCATAAGCTGGCCTTGATGTGGGGGGAAAGATACAAAGCTAGGTGCTAGAAAAAGGGGCTGGATCTGGGAAGCGTTGGAAAAGAAAGGTGATTATGACTGTACAAAATTCTCAAAGAACTAATAAGAAAGAAGGACTGTAGATGGCAGAGCACTCGACTATGACGCCTATATCCAGAGAAAGGTGCAAGTGCAGACACTGAGTATAGCTGGTAGAGTGCTCACAGCCCTGGGTTTGGTCCCTAGCACTGCATAAACAAGCCATTGTGATTAAGTGCTATAATCAGCACTTAAGAAATGGAAGCAGGCCGGGCGGTGGTGGCGCACGCCTTTAATCCCAGCACTCAGGAGGCAGAGGCAGGCGGATCTCTGGGAGTTCGAGGCCAGCCTGGTCTACAAGAGCTAGTTCCGGGACGGGCACCAAAGCTACAGAGAAACCCTGTCTCAAAAAAACAAAACAAAA